TATATATTATTTTAATAGGATTTTTAATATATTTAGACAAATTTATATATAAAATAATTATTTTTATTTTATAAAAATTTAAAAAATATATAAAAACTAATAAAAATATATAATTCTGTTCAATTCAATTTTTTTTTTGTTTTCACATTTTGATCCAAAATTTTATCTAAACTTAATATATACATTTAATATTCGAACTTGATTTTAACCGAACAAGAAAAAAATCAATCCAAACTAAATCAAACACTATAACTTTGAATCATTTTTTGGTTCTCTCAATTTTTTTTTTCATCCCTAAAAAATATTAACACTTTTTTTTTAAGTATTCACAAGATAAAGGTCAATAAATACAAAGATAAAATTGGACAAAAAATCATTTAATTAAAAATAATTGTTTAATTTAGTTTAGGATAAGATGAATCACCACATCTTTACTCCTCAGGTAAGAATTAGGAACCCTGGTGAGAAAATTTATTACAATAGGATTACACTTAACTCATACTGCCGGGGCTTCCATTGAATCCAAATGTCGGGCCTTTGAAGATTGACATGGGTGAAAAAAAAGCAAAAAAACAAAAAAGAAGGGGAAGGGAATAGAGGAAAAGGGAATCAACTGTCGACATTCACAAACAACACTTTTTGGAATGGACCCATCAATCAACCAGACTCCGTAAAGCTTGACCTCTCTGTTTGAGCAAGTCCATCGATATCGGTACGATACGTGATTGATTGAAATGTGAAATAGTTTAGCTTGGATTCATTAAAAAATATGCATTTGTCTTTGCATGTTATAGAAACTCAAAAGATCTTATTGTGGTTTCTTTTACTGGTTTCTTATAAGTTTTTTTGGTTTTTAAATTTCTGGGTTTTGCTTTTTGTTCTTAATGGCAATGATCTGGTGGTGTTTTTTGAATAGTTTTTTCTTTTGAGTTCATGAGTCAAGGATCAAACGAGTAGTAAGGATCTAAAGAGAGGTAGAGATGGCAATGACGGTGGTGAAGAGTGTGATGCAGGCTATTCGTGAGAAAGGTCTTAGCACTTTCTTAAAAGAGCTCAAGGAATTTGTCCCAAAGTTAACTTTCTTCCTTTGGCTTATTTTTTATCTTAAAAATTGTTTCTTTTGATCGGAGTGTTAATTTATAGATATTGCTTTATTGCAAGTGGAAGTGGAAGTGGAATTTTTGATTAGTTAGTTTGAGAGTGGAATGCAAGAGGATACGAGGATTTTTTTAAGGTAATATTAATACATGTCGAACTTATAATGTGTTTGGATTGAGGAAAAATGAAAATAAATTAAATTTTTTCTCTCCTTTGGATAGGAAAGTGCAGAAGAAAATGAGAACGGAATTTTAAATCTCTATAAAAGTGGGAAAATTGGAGAGAAAGAAACTAGCTAATGTGATTCTTTTCCATTTTCTCTTAATAGGATTTATGTATATTGTTGGGTTTAGAATAACAAACAACTTTATAAATTGCATGAATGATATTAATGTTGTGCTATAAGTTTCTCGTACTACTACATTTGCTTTGGAAACCCAACATTTTTGTTTCTAAAATGTTGTTAATTTCTATGAGAATTTCGAATTAGATCTGTATGATATCTTGCTTTTCTATCATTTGGATATCTTCAAACTATTAATTTTTCAATTAAGAAATGAAAAACCCCCTTTTTTACATTATTCTTCTATTAATAATTCGACATACTGATTATTCATTTTTTTTAAGGAATTGCATTTTCGACGACAAAAATCTTCTGTAAGTCAGATTCTCTTTCTAAATAATCTCTTAGCTCTTTCTTACTTGAAAAATGAAATCTTTTTTTTTTATTTTATAAAAAAAAATAAAATTAAAAGGTAATTGAAATTCTAATAAATTTGTAATTAGGGTAATGCAGCTAGGATATCAATTTCGTTTTATTAAAAAAAAAGGTGAAACTTTAACATTAATGGCACATTGCATTTGTATCTATGTAAGAATTTTACTCTATGTTTAAGTATACTAAGGTTCTTCCGTGGATGCATGTGGGACATGTTAATTTAAATAGAAAACCAAAATCAAATGACTTACAATTGTATTGTTAGAACTAAAAAGAAATAACAAATCAGTTCTGATAGCAATGTCATAGCAGGGTGCTGAGAAAAAGGAGAGTAGTCGTTTAAAAATCCAAACCTTCATGCCTCTACACATGTCATGACAAAAATTTAATTTCTTTTGGGGTTGTAACCCAATTACATGTTTGTATATAAAATTGTTATTCTTATTCCATCAAATCCTTTATACTATCAATTTTAACTCTCTAAAATCTGAAACATTTGCATAATATATAGCCACTATTACTCAGATCAAACTCAAATGTCTCCAGAAGTTGAGTTTAACATTTGTATCCCATAAGTTTTGTCATTGAAACTATTGACTTTTGATTACGATGCCTTGAACATATGCCCATTCTGAAATACTAAATTGATATGGCCAAGTGGTTTATGTTTTCCAATTTTTATGGATCTATGTTTTCTAAGAACTATTTATTTACTATGTTGATATGGTATTCTATTGATTAAACTGATTATTCTCAGGTTGGATACTGCTACTCAGTTTGCAAGTGTGTAGTAAAAGATTCTGCAAACTACTTAGATCACATCAATGGGACGAAACGTATGTGCTATTCTAGAGATTCATGTCTTATAATTTTATGGATGTGTCAACATATATACACAATTATATTAGTTTTTACCTAATGGAATGGCCCCTTTTGTCTCTCTTTCTCAGATCAAAAAGCTTTGGGTATGTCCATGTAGGTAAAACAGGCAACTCTTAAACAGGTACTTAGTTGGAGAGCTTTTGATATGCATTCAAAATACTTAATTGGTTCAAGTTGCAAAATTAATAACCTTTTTAGCAAACAAAAGGAGTGTATTTTTTATTTTTTTATTTTTAGATTTTAATATTAGAATTAGAAGTAGATTAGTAATGCATAAATATTGCAATCTAATAAACATGAACATCCAGTGAAGTGCCCAGAGTTAAGAGTTTAGTAAAATTAGTAGCAAAATGCTAGGTTGTTTAAAGCTGTTATTGAATTTGAACCTACAAGTAGAAAGAAAAAAACTTTATGTGCTTTTTTGAAACAAAAAGGAATAATTTCCCATACAAGAAACTGGTTATATTTACTTGAAGATAGTCAATAGAATATGTGGAATATGAAATGTAATGGCAAAAAGAAGATTTGTTTTGTTGGACATAGTCAATTTTTTACATTTACTTTCCTTGCTTAGTTGATGCAGGTTCAAGAACTTTTAAACAATTAAAATAGCAAAAAACACCTAAAAGCTTGTGTGAGCAAGGTAATTCTTTGTTTAAATACCTTGAACATCTTTTTAAATACAAATGTTGATAGCTATTCAAGACAGCTACGGTTGATTTTCAATGAGAGGCTTCATAGAACTATGCTACTTAAAAGAGTAAGGCTTCTTGAAAAACGAAGAGGCATGTCTATTTCTACTTACAGGTTTGTGTTTATAGCTGTCTGTAAATTTGAAACTGATAGTTGGTGCATTGGTTTGTTCTGGGATAAGTTTACTTGTAGATTAATTATGTTTTAATTAATGTTTCTGTTACAATAAAGGTCCAAGGGGAAATGAAAACACTGTAGTCTATTAAATGTGCAAAATCATATATCAAATATGATTTTTTTTCTTTTCAATTTGTGTTCAACTAACCAAGGAACAAGCCATCATTATTGTATTTAAAAATAATTAAAAGGGCAATTGAGGAATATAAGGTTTAAATCTGCTGTTCAGACTCAATCTAAAAGTTTTTAAAGGGAGAGTAACCATAAAAGCAATTCAATGGGTGAAAACAAGCATGCTGTTTCTCTTATACTGCAATAGGAATACTGGAAGCTATTAGGGATGTGGTCTTTAATTCACCTAACCTAACTTTTTTTTCATTTCTGAAAATTTTTTATAATAAACAAAGAGGGAATGAGGAAAAAGAGAAAGCATAGGGAGCAAAAAAGAGAGATTTATATGATGAAAGATTTCGGGATAATGGGTGTATGATATAGAGTCGCAGCCATCACTAGCCAAATCATTGGGCTTTTTGAGGAAGAAACCATCCAGCAGTAAACACTAAATATATTATTTTAAAAATTAGGGAAAAAGTCATTTCTCTAAAAATATTTATTTTCTTAATATATTATTTTAAAATTATGTTTCATTTAGTTTCTTTTTTTTTTTTTATGTGATTGTTTTAATTGAATTTAATTCAATTTGTTTGAGTTTCGGATGTGTTTTAAGCTTTTCTAATATTCATTTTGTGATCTGTTTTTACATGATTTGATTTTTTTCTTTGATTATGTTATGGTGATTTAATAAGTTTTTATTTTTAATCAAATTTAGGCTTTTGTTTGCCAATCAATTACCACCTGAAGTGAAATTCAATACATCCATTCTGCTCAACATTCTACTTTTTTATCGGAACCACCCATTATAATCTCACATTACAAGTAGACAAAAATCAAAATTCAACTGCCAATTATGCAATAGCCTCTCTAAGATTAAATTCTCTGCAAATGGGTAATTTTCCTTTCACATTTTTTATTTTCTTTGCATATTTTTAATACTCTTTTTGCCTTGCTTTGCATGCATTTCTTACATGAAACAAAAATCAATTTTTCCAGTATTAATTGTGAATTTTTGGTAAAACTTTCTTGAGTTTTAGTCAGAATAATAATTACTGAAATAATCTCATTTGTATAGGTCTAGGAAGGATTGAGTGTGATCAAATATGGTCGAAAACACATTGGAGTAACAGATCCTTAGAAATCAGAGCCTGGAACCATTAAAGGTGATCTAGCAATGGTTGTCGGAAGGCATAAGCTTCTGTTGTTGTAGATTTGTTTTTCATACATGGCATTGGCACCACGATCTAAAGTTCATGATGTTGTTCTTTTATCTTGCAGAAATATAATTCATGGGAGTAATGGTCCTAAGATTGCTAAAAATGAAATCAACTTGTTGTTCAAGCCAAAAGAATTGGTTAGCTATAAAAGCAACCCAAAGCATTGGATCTATGACTGATGAGGTCATTTTTTTCTGCTGTTGGTCAGCAGATCAGGATAACATACCCTCGAGAGTACTATTTGATTTTTTTTCTTTGATTTGTTAACCATGCCTCTACCCCACACCTCAATGGCGTTAAGCTACCCTCGAGAATACTATTGGCCTATAATGTACACAGCAAAAGAATTAGAGTACGCAACTAAAGCTTGCCATGGCACCCCCGCTCGAAATGGTAATTCTTCCTTGTAATTCATATCACCAAAAATTCTATACTGAGATCATAATGGATGAACATGATTAGTATGCCTGCGGAAGTCTAGCAACTTAACCAGCAGCTGCCATCTGAAAGACACCTGAGCTCAAACGGAAATATAAACAAAATGGAGGTTAGCTAGCTTGGTTAGACAAAACTATCACCTCAGATCAGATCCACGTGATTCACCCCCTACAGATGCACAGTGAAGAGCCACTCCAGAATAAGAATTTGAGTTGCAAAATGATTCAGAATCATATGGTGCAGCTTGAGGGTGATCAACCTGAGAACTAGATACAGGGCGCCCAGGAGATTTGGTATTCATCGAAGCCATATTAGTAATTACATTACCTTCAGAGAAATCAGACTGTGTTGCAGTTGATATTTCTCTCTGGTCACGGATGTTGGTCACAGCAACCTCAGTACCAGCCAATACAACCTCCGCAGACATGTGCATGCACAGCTGTAAGTTTTCGTTTTTGGAGGTATCATTACAACCCTCACAAGTAAGAAAATTTACATCAAGTGGAGTCCCGACTTCTCCAGAAGCACCAATCCCGTCACACTGACAGGAAGGACTACTTTTACGGTCATTGGATGAGACATCATAATGGCCATGTGCAAGATGTTGAGCACTTGGGAGAGCCGATGGAGAAGTTTGGTTGGCCACATCTTTGGCAATAGCATGGCAAATTTTTACTTCTGTCTTCTGGACCATCTTATCAGAATCAGAAAGACATTCTACCACCTGTAATTTTAAATTTTCATACTGCTTGATGTCATTTGCATCCTCTGACATCTGAGTTGTACCATCAAAATCATTAGTAACAACATTCTCACCAGCAACCTTTGACAAGGGTAAAATAGCCACTTCATTTTCGGCACAGACAATATCTTCGGAGTGTTTGACAGAACCCTCATACTTAGAATCAAGGTTCTGTTTAACAATGCTTTCATCAAATTTCTCCTCAGAAAATATGCTTAATTGAGAGTCAAATTCCAGTTTCCATTCTTCAGGTGCTGGATTGCAGGAACAAGAAACAATAGCAGATTCTGGACCCATTACATCAGTTGTATATTTCAAGGTGCCATTAGGAAGCACCAATGTTGATTCAACAGCAGGAGGTTCATCACTTCTCTCATCTGTTTGAGGGGGACTTTCGGCAGAAACATTCAAATCAAACACAACTGAACACTTCTCTCCAGATTTATTGGACCCTTCACCTATGATCTGGTCCTCCATAACATGCGTCATCAATGATTTCTGTAGCATATCTACACCAGGAAAGACCAGCATATTCATGTTCCTCATCTTCTGTTTGCTTGCAGTTTCTAGGGGCTGGAAACCAAAGACTGAAGTCCATGTTCCCCTGAGTTCTGGGATTGCAGGTATGACCAATTTCTCAACATTCAGAGAGCTGAGAGCCTGTAATCAAGGGGGTAGAAGAAAAAAGAACCATGAGGACAAAATTCTGGGTGAAATACATTAAAATTCAAAAATAGCCATAAAGCTATCACACTATTACTCTTTTCAGACAAGCTTACAAATCTTTGAATAAAAACCTGTCGCCTAAGAATTACTTCCTGTATCACTAGATTGAGGGAAAAAAGAAATTTGATATCTGGTCTCAATAACTTCTATTTGAGAAAATAATCTAAGTTTGATAATGCATAGTATTTAGGGTTTACACGTACAGATAAAACCAACTTGTAAATGTCAAAATTCTCAGAAAGCACAATAAGGGAACCTTCATTGAATTTTGTGAGAAGTGCTACACACCTCTCTTAAGCCATGCCCAATTAAGCCAAAACATTTTAAGATGTAATTAATTATCTAGCAATGCAATGGAAGACATGCAAATATAAGAAGAAAAAAAGAGAATGATTCAGACATACAGATTCAATAGCACAAAGAAGCCGGCGACACATCCCTTGACGCCTATAAGTAAACCGCGTCCCAATGAAAGGCATCTCAGCTAACTGGTTTCCATGGATCCTATTAGCTCAATAAGTAAATAATTATAATTGTTAGCATTTAATCAAATATGGTTGCAGTTTGGTGAGTAGGCAGGTTTATCTGATTATGATCAGCAAATCTACAGCAATCAATCAGGTACCATATGGGTAATGGTGATCATGCACCTTTAATTGTATTTATGAAAATAAACCAAAATGTGTTGTGTTAAATCTTCAATCTCAGTATATCACATTAGTAGGCTAGTGCAATTTTGGATTGGGGGATAAATTAACAAACTACCTTTAGATGTAAAGATACACTAGAAGCTAACAGCAGAGATACAAACATATGATGGGCAAGAGTGTTTTAAAGAGGTGAGTTGGTTCACTACATATGGATGTTATCTTTATAATCATTCTTAGAATGTAAAGACATCCTAGAAGTTTCCATGTTCAAATTAAGTATTTCCAAATATTCTATTCTATAATTCAGCAACGAACAAAGACAAGAATAAACACTGATGAAGAGTGAGTTGAGATGAGCAGAAAGTAAATTTACCTGATGGAAGCTGCAGAGATAATCTCATCCCCTCTTTCTAGAACTGCAGTGAAAAAACCACTGTAGTTTAGCCTAGTGAAGTTTGACCTGAAAGAAAAATAAAAGATTAAATAATTCACTTAGAACAAGAACGTGTTGTTTTTATTCAATTTTAAAACCACAGCAACAATAGTTATGCAGAAAAATCCAATATCACTATAAAATAAAAATAGGCATTAGGTTGTCTTTCAGATATTACCATAGCAAAAAATAGTACCACTCAACAACAAAAAAACACTGATCCAGGCCAATCTGTTCAATGGCAGCTTTTTTAACAATTTCATATGGTTATATTAACTCTTAATGTCTAAATGTCACATTAAACCATCACTACACATGTTGGCTATTCTGCTTTTTACTATATACAGATTAAGAGCCATTGTCTTCGTTCAGTTTAACATCATCTCAATCTGCGGAATAGGGCAAGGTTAAAGTTGCACAATGTTCAGCTCTTAACTTTCTAAAATATAACTTCAAAGAAGTAGGGTAACTGCTATTCAACTGCAGATGCTCCTCAGACACATATCAAACTTTAAATTAGGAACTACTAAGAAAGACAGCTTTGCTTGCATCTTTGTTGCCAAAACCCAAAAGGAATTACAAAAATTTAAGGAAAAAAATTAAGTTGATACAGCAGCAAGCTCAAAAATCGAATCTTACTCTTACCATAGAAGGAATTCCAAAAGCCAACTTTTCTTGAAGAATGTAATTCATGCACTATTGAGTTTAATGTCTTGTAAAGTACACACAGAACAGTTTAGGTGCACTTACCCAAAATTATAGACAATATTATGAATCAGATTGACACCACTTCTGTGGTCAACAAGAGGCAAAAAGCACTCATCCATCACAGATAATGCAACAGCTAGCTTGGAATTTGACTCAACCTTCTGATATGCTTCACTGAGACAAGCATCTGAACTGATATCAAAGCGGTGAACAAGAGTCCATGAGAAGCCTTCTGGCAGTTCATGTTTAACCCCAACTAGCATCTGAAGTCTCTCAAACAACTGGAAAAACAGAAACTTCAAGATCAACTTAAAAACACAGTAAAAAGCAAAAGATTCCTCCTTGTTTCAAAAGGGGGGGTATTTTATGGAATTTTCCTTATTCAAAGTCAAAGCAAAACTTGTGTGCATGTGAACAACTACCAAAGAGAGCCAGTGACCAGTTGAGTGCATACAACAGGAGTAAAGGCCTCTCTTCGCATTCTTGCTAAATGTTGTGCATAACTTGGTATCAACTTAGAGGTTCAATTCCAATGACAGAAACATCTGTGTTAGATAAAGAGTTACATTCCTGACGACATAGACACAACAACTCTTACATTTGAGAAGCTGAGAACCACAATCATTTCATACCAGCAGACACAACTTAATTGACTGTAAAAAATAACAATTAAAACTTCATTTGAAAATCTAGCAAACCACTACAAATTCCCCACAGTACAATTACATCAATGACCAACTAAAATTATACCTCTTTGCATCTCTTCCCACAAAAGGATGCAATATAGGAATCATCATCAAAAGCATCCATTGGCTGAATACATGGTTGATGATCTACAAGAAAAAAAAAGATCCATGTGAAATGAATGGCATACAATAGCAATAACAACAAGAGTGACAACAAAATTAAAAAATAAAAGCAAAGGGAAATCAACAATCAACATATACACAAAACAACTTGGAATTTAACAAGGGCAGAACAAATACATTTTTCTTCACATAAATGGCATGTAAGTACTGTAGGATCTGTATCTTCATCTTTGTCCCTTTGATATGTATTTTCAACCATCCCACAGTATTTGCATGTACAGTAGACACAGTTCCAGTTACCTGAAGGGAATGCCTGTAGCAAAGAAAAGAAAATGAGAAAAGATTAGATTACTCACAATGAAGACTTAAACTGAAATTAAAATCTACTTTTGCTTGTAACTGCAAAAAAAAAAAAAGATGCAAGGAGAATTCTAAGACAGTTTTTCTTTCTGGCTGCTTTTCACAAATGATTGTATTGGCGAACTGACTTCAACAAAGAATAGCCTTTCCAAAAGCCTTCAACAATGAATTCCGAGCATAAGATTTAGTCAATGTTTCTCACTCCTAAGTTTCAGTTAATCTTTGCTCTACACTATCAAGGCCCAAAGCAAAGCAGGGAAAACAAAAAGCATGAATTCAAAGATAAAGCCCCAGCCAGATTGTGAACAGTAAACCAAAAGAATAACCTGGTATTGTAGCAGATTTGGGTGGGTGTTTGATCTTAAAGAATAAAGTCTTAACACAAATATACAGAAATTTATTGGCATCTTTATGCACTCAGTCCAAGCATATCAATCATAGATCTCAGGGTGTCTGCTAAATATGAATGAGTAAAACAAAATTATTAAGCCTTTTCCCTTTCTTCCATATGTTCTAGAACCAGAATAAGCAGATGCAGAGAAAGTAAAAGTTGGGGAAGGGAGTAAGGTCTGCATGGGACGAACTAATATGAGCTAGATTCCATATGCATGTAACAAAGACATATGGCAACAAATACTTACTTTTATATCTAAGCAGCTTTGATGGAATGTTGATGGACAACTATCGCAACAGATCAAGTCACCACCATCACCACAGATACCACAGGTATCATCATTTGGGTCTTCACCACCAAAATCTACAAAATGGAAGCCCTTACATATAGACTGCTGTTGTTTGTTCCAAGCACCTAACATGCATTGCAAGAGGGAAATTCCTGTTTCTAAACATATATTCTGAAAAGGTTGATGTAGTTTGCTCCCTGCATGAGTCTCAAATTCTGCAATGGTGAAGACATCACCACAACAGTTGCATTGAATGCCATCCCTGGTTATCTTACCAGATTTACCCTCACGAGCTGTTCGTGTTCTTCTTTGGATCAAATATTCTACTTTCCCATCCTGTGGAACAGTGCTCAAATCAATCATCCAAGCAAGCACAGTTCGCTTCCCATCATATAGCACATAGCCATCATTATTAGATTCAGATCCATTTATTGAGTTGCGAACCAACAAAGCATACTGCTTTCTATTTTGTGTCTGTTGTAGCTTAAGCTTCTTGCCTGACACTTGTGTTCCCTTTTGTAATGTACCATCAGAATTATCCTCTTCATAAAGCAAAATCTTCTCCTTCAGCAGCTTCTGCTTTTTCTTTTTCTTTTTCTTTGCATCTTCATTGTCCCTATTGCCCTTCCATTTCTTTTTTCGTTTATTCATTTTCTTTTCAACATCCCCATTATCCACTGTATCATCATCTCCCCCTTTTGGCTTCTTTTTCCCTTGCCTTTTATTCTGAACTATTCTTGTTAGGATGCTAAGTTCCTTTTCTGGAATTGGAGTAAATATGAAACCATTTGGACTAACCTTAGAGTCACATTTACCACTTTCATAATACTTTTTAAGCACTCTGTAGGCCAAGGTAACTGACCAGTGAGTCCTTCCTTCAGGATTAACATACACTGCATCATTGTACTGTCTATTATTCCTAGGCCTGTAATCGATTGTCCAACCTGCCGCTTTCAGCATCTTCACTATTCGATCTCTGACAGCCCGTTTCGCATCTGACCGTCTATGTTCCACTTCATCCCCTGCTTTCCTCACTCTCTTTTCCTTGCGTTTCACATTCACAACCTTAGGTCTCAACATTAGCAAAGCCTTGCTGTCATTCTTTTCCATATCACTAAACCTAACCTTATTAGCAGATATAAACCTCTTGACATTTGATTCTTTCCCAATCAATCTCTTCTCCGAATATAAAGTATTTGGTGGCACATTAAACTTCAAACTCCCCCCCAACTTCATTCTGCCCCTTCTTAACCCACCCAATTTTTTTCTCCCATCGATAAGCCTTCTCTTCAAAGCTTTGTTACCGCCCTGCAGCTTGGGTGGTCTTCCACGTTTTCGGATCATACCCTCCCTTTCCTTGCTATTATTTTGATCACTCCCTTCCCTTTCCAACTCAAGAAATTTCTTCACTAACCCATCACTGCCCTGCACTTTGGGTGGTCTCCCACGCTTACGCATCACCTTCTTCCTTAACTCACAATCAAAGTGATCACCCACTCTCATTTCCACCTCAACAGCTTTCATCTCAAACCCATCATTGTCCTGAGTTCTGGTTGGTATCCCATTCTCATGGTTTGCCTCCTTCCTTGTCTCAATATCAGAGTGATAACTCTCTCTTGTTTCAACCTCATCAGCTTTTTTTTCAAACCCCTGATTCCTCTGCACCTTGGTTGGTCTGCCACGTTTATGTTTTGACTTCTTACTGCCACCATCATTAGAGTGACTACACTCTCCTATTTCCACATTAACTGCAGTCTTCCTATTCCCTAGCAACTTTGGTGGTCTCCCACGCTTACGTTTTGACTCCTTACTAACATTACCATCAAATTGATCCCTCTCTCCTGCTTCCATCTTAACTGCTTTCTTCTCAAACCCACCATTCACCAGCACCTTGGGTGGTCTCCCACGCTTATGCTTGAACTCCTTCGTCAATTCACCATCTGAGTACTCATTCTCTCCCAATTGCAGCTCAACTGTCTTCTTCTCAAACCCATTATCCCCCTTAAACTTGGGTGGTCTCCCGCGCTTACGCTTTGCCTCCTTCCCCACCTTACCATCACCAGAGTGATTGCTGGGTCCTCTTTCTACGCTAAAAGCTTTCTTTTCATCCCCATCACTGTACTTCATCCCAGGTCTCCTCCCGGCTTTTCTCTTCGCCTCCTTTGTTTCATCATGAGAGTGATCATTCTCTTCCTTAACCACCTCAACTGTTTTCTTCCCACAATTATCGGTATCTTCAGTTTTATCACCTCCACTCTCACCTTTATCACCTTCGTTCTCACTCCTCACTGCAGAGCTTGACCGCAAAACCCTACCAGAAAACTGCATTTTACCATCCAAGCCTTCCTCCTTGACCTTTTTCTTCACACTATCATCTTCTTTATTATCTTCATTATCCTCCGCCCTACCCTTTTTCCTCTCATTCTCAGTCAATTCACCAACTTTTAGATTACCCACCTCACCATCTTCCTTACATTCTTCACTCTCCTCTTTTTCCTCAATTTCAACCTCTTTCAAAGGAGAAACTAACGGGTCATCATTCAAATCAAAACCCTTTTGCTTCAAATCATCCCCTTTATTTTCCTCAATGTCTTGGGTTGGCAAAACCTTATCTTCCTCAGGTTTCCCCTGCAAAATGCCAGATCCTAAGCCCCTTCCCATCTCTTACAAAACCTTAGCTTCAAAAAGGTTTCTTTTCTGGCTCACAAAATCATTTCACCGGAATCATACCCAAACAAAACAAGTAAACAAGCCCCATTGGTTTCACTTTGGCCACAGAAAATTTCAATGCCCAAATTACTCAGCAGGATCTCACAATACTCTAAAATCAAAACCCTGAAATCTAAAAAACCAAAAGAAATCAATAACAACAAAAATTTTTTAAAAATAACGTACCAAAGTGTCACATCAAAACCGGAAAGTGGATCACGAACCTTACCCCAATGCAGCAGAGTGAACGGAATCCTAACTTCCAACGGCGTCGTATTGCAATATAGAGATAGAAAGCTGGGAGATCATTGCCATGGCGTTTCAAAGTTTGGGTATTACAGAACGATATTGGGGATTTTGTTTTTCAATAATATGGTGGTGGTTGTATTTACCAAGGTATCAGCCTACTATCGAATGTACCCGGATGGGTAAATTTGTCTTTTAAATTGTACCTCATTTTCAATTTCCCTCCATATTTGCGCACAATTTTTTTCTGGTCTCCCTATTAAAAATCAAAGGTTAGAATTGTAAATTGTAATAGTGCATTTTGAAAAATAAATAAATGACAAATTATTTCATTTATGTGGAGTTTTTGAACTCATAATTTTTATGATATATTTAAAAATTAAAAAATAAAATGATGCATAATTTTTATGAAATATTTAAAAATTAAAAAATAAAATATTTATCAATTTTTTAATCTCATTTATAAATTTACAAAATTAAAAAATTACATAATATTAAATACTACTTAGTAAATTTAATAAATTTACTTGTGAAATAAAGTTAAAAAATTGCATGGATGCTACTTAGATTTTTTTAACCATTTGTAAAATAAAGGGTAAATAAATTGGATAACCTATTAATTAGTTAATTATTATGATCAGGACTGATGTTTAGATCAATTAATATGAAAATTTTATTGATATTTAAAAATTTAAACTCAAATAAGCTCATACAAATAATATCTTCTCCAATCAAATAAAAAAAAAAATAATAGATTAAAAACTTTCAAAAAAAAAAATAAAACACTAACCAAACAAACCAGAATTTTATTTGGAGGGTGAGAAAGAAAAAAAAAAAAAACAATAGCATGTTCTTATGAATTTTATTTTTTACCAATCGGAATTATTTGGGTGCTAAATATAAATTGTTTGGTTAAATGATAAAAAATTTTGAATAAAAATTTAATAATTATTTAAATTTTTATTATTTTTATTACAATAAATTAATTATTTAAAATTTATTTTCATCAATTAAATTTTTATTAAACAAAAATTTATTAACTATTAACGTTTAATCAATAAATCAATTAAAGTGAAAATAAATATTTAAAAATTTAATTTAATAAAATGTATATTTAAATACTTAATTGATTTAAAACAAAAAAAATTTTGATTTGTTGTAAAAAATATAAAAACTTATTAAATTTTAATTCGAATATTTTTTTCACACTTTTTACACTTAAAAGGTTACAGCATCATTTTCAATGTTCTTTTCCGTATATAGCATCATTTTCGCATGTTATAAGAGCAAAATTTGTCTTATCTAGATATCCTTGAATCCTGCTGGTACTTGAATGAAACATGATACCAAACCAATTGCTCCATTAATTGGTTAATTTTGTAACTTTATAAGAGCAAATAGCATAATGATTTTTAAACTTTGAATTAAATATCATTTCGATTTTATATTTTCAAAAATCATTTGATAGTTCTCATAGTTTTGATGTTATAACAATATGATTCTTCTGCCAATAATAATTACGTTAAATATGATTGTGAGTATTATTTGGCACCCCCGTGTTTAACACATAAGGAAGATTAATACATTGATTTGTATGTTATTTATTTTTTATTAAATTTTATTTTTAAATTGTTATATTATATTTAAAAATAAAAAATTTTGTATAATAATTGTGTGATTTATTGATAGAATATTGAAATATAAATTTTAATTATTAGGGTTCAAATTTTAATAATTTTAAATATAAAAAATAATTATTTAAAATGATTATTTTATTTTTGATTTATAATATTTAATAAAGTATTAATTTTTAAAGTGTCCAATTTTTTTTTCTTTTTCCTCTTCTTTCCCTGTTAATCTAAAAATTGTCAATGATGATAAAAACTCATATTTGAGCTAATCGATGTCAGAGTTTCACAAATAATATGAAACCCAAACTCCATAAGTCGAATCAATGGTTGCCAAGACAAATCTAGCTCCAACTATTGTCCAATGTTTGCTTGACCAGATTTAGCTCTCAACATCGATGAGTTTCTGGTCTATGAAAGAAAGAAAGAAAAAGAAAAGAGAACAAAATAAATAAATAAATAAATATCCAAATAATCAAGATTTTATACACACAAATTTATACATGTTTGACATGTCACTAATAAATCTTTGAAGGTGGAATTAACGAAAATATTAACATTAAGATTATTTCATTACAATGTCAAAAGTATAAAACTAACAAGTAATTTTTAAAAATATAGTGTCATAAGCTAACTATAATGTGATGAATCAAATTAAAAAGAAGATAAAAGAAGCTAGAAGAAATAGACTAGAGAATTAGAGAAAATCAAAGAGAATAGAAAAGCAAAGAATTTTGTGATATTTCATTTATACTTTTCTGGTTTTTAGAGACATTGTATTTAAGTACATTACTTGTGATATTTTCAACGTGACACAATAATAGAATTTCATAATGAATGTTGGCTAATATGGATGAAATGTTAACCCAATAATTGCGAAATATCTATTACTAACTCACAAGATCTAAGGTACTAGCTAATGATTAGTAGCCAATTTCAACTTCTTGCTTATATCTTTATTAATAGCTTCCTTTCTTGTTGTCAACTTTTTTCTTAGCTCAATTCTTGCTTCATTCAACTTTCTTTCTCCCTTTTTCTTGCTTAACTCCTAGTTTCCAACTATAGCTATTTTTTATTATTGCTAAATTCATCACATTACCTATTAACTTAGCTATCCTTTCCTTATTTCTAGAATAAACTAACTCCAACTTCTTTGTATAATAACCTTGATAAATATTCATATGTGCTGCATCCCTATATGTCTTAGCTTCCTTTGCTATATGAGATCCCATTATCAATTCACCACTAATTTTAGTTTTCTAGTTCATTACATTATCCTCCCCTTCAATAGATCTTTGTCCCCAATCTAAGGATGGAAATTGCAATCTTAGTGCAATATGATCTTCCTAGGTTACATTTTTAAACCCTAGATTAGCCCACGCTATTAGGAATTCTTTATTTTTCTTATTATCAATTACAACAACAAAATACTTTAATTGCTAACATTTTTATTCCTTTTTGGATACTTAATACTAAACATTATCTTTTTTCTAATCCTTTTCATTAACAGACTTTCATGAATTAATACTAGTTTAAATACACTTTAGCTACTTCTAAAGCAATGTAAGGATGAGATAGGTGTAAAAAGTGAATGGACTTTTATGATCTTAAGTTAACTGATTGAGATCCTAATTTTAGGAAAATACTATGGTCTTGAGGCTTTTCGAGTGACAGCCTTGAGGTTTTTCAAAGATATCTTAATAAGAGCTTAACAATGGTTTGAATTGTTGTAGATATTATGATTGCTCATAATTCACACAATCATGTACAATTCTCTTAACATCTCATAATTGTACCAACTACTTTTTGAAATCTCTTACTTTCTCTTTCACGATAAAAGAGGTCAACTGTTTATTCTTGCAAGCATGTCCAAAGGTGAATGCATCTTTACATTTATAACAAATAATGAGTTATTTCTTGTTCCATGAGTAAGTTTCTATTAGTATTGGCAAGGTGTTTGGTGAAGTCTTAAGTGTTTGGTTTAAAGAAATATAAAAGGGTTTTGTATAGGCATTAGTGTTTTGGGTGATCTTTTGAAACTATTTATGCATTTTGTTCTCAAATTCAATGGTCAGTTCATGAAGTTAAGCCTACCAATAAGTTGCAGCCAAGGTTATTGGCCCATTAGCCTTGATTTGTGTTTAATTTCATCCTTAAGGTTGTTTATTAAGCTGGGGATGAAATAACTCTTTAGTAGATGGGGGTTATATGTAACATATAAGGCTTAAGTTTCTCAAACTTCTCTTGATACTCTATTTACAACAGATCTTTGGATCAACTTGTTGAATTCGTCAACTAAATTTAAGCATGTTTGATTACAAAATCTCTAACAAAAATTATTAGTGAAATTTTACCAATTAACATGGTCATTTGCATAATATATCCATTGAACTAAATTTCAACTTTTCCCATTAAATACATAGCTACTATTTTTATAGGTTGTTTATATTTAATTTTGGATTAAGACACTGATTTTTTAAAGATGTTGGTCAGACATTAACTCTTACTAAGTCAACTTGACCTTGTGCTTTTCCTTTTTTTAGTAGTTTGAGGATCCTACTAACTTTTTTTTTTTTTCATTCTCAACAAATCTTACTTCAATATCTCTTTTATGTTTCTCCCACCATTTTGGAATGGTGTTTTAGAAGCTTTTAAGGCCTCTATCTGAATTTGCAAAGATTTTTAAGGACTCTATTTGATTTTGCAAATTTTAAACTTGCTTTTATAGTGTGTTGAGTCCCATCCCTTCGATCATAGCTTTATGGTTTTTTTTGTTTTCCTAGTTTGATAGTTAAATCTTTTTATGCTCTGATACCAATTTGTCACAAACTAGTTTTGTTGTCAAGAACTGGATTATAAAGAAAAATAACATAGAAAAACTAAATGAAATAGACTAGAGAATTAGAGAGAATTTAAGAATAGAAAGCAAAAAATATTGTGATATTTCATACATACTTTTCTGATTGTTATATACTTTGTATTAAAACACATTAGTGATGATATTTCCAACTTGACACAATAATAGAATTCTATTATGAATGTTGGTTAATATGAACAAAATAATAACTCAATAATTATAAAATATTTGCTAAATGACGTCATTGAATCCAAGGTACTAGCTAATGATTAGTTGCCAATCTCAGCTCCTTGTTTATATTTTCATCAATAACTTTCTTTTGTATTGTCAATTTCTTTCTTGGTTCAATTCTCTTTTCATTCAACTTCTTTTCTTTATTTTTTAGCTTAACTCTTGGCTTCCAGTTATAGGCATTATTCCTTATTGATAAATTCATCACATTACTTGCCAGCTCAGTTATTTTTTCTCATTTTTAGAGTAAACTGACTCAAACTTCTTTGTATAATAATCTTAATAAATATTCATTTGTGTTGTATCTTCATATGTCTTAGCTTCTGTAAGGTAAAATATATGCAACATATATATGAATATAATCATATATATTTACTTGTTTAGCAAAAGCGAAAGTAAAAGCATGACTTAAATTACTGGTCATTAAACAAAATTACAATACGAAATTTGTACATATCTATAACAAAGTCCTTCAATAACTGAATCAAGAATCCTTCATTAAAATTTGTTGACTGGCAATCTTTCTTTCTCCCTTTCTCCTTTTCTTCTCGTGAAAAACTTTCTTTTTTTTTTCTCAAGTAAAAATGGTCGAATATCTTTTTTTTTTTTCATGTTAGAAGATATACAGTATTTTTTATTGGTTTGTAAACTGCCTATGGTAATTTTTTTTATTCAAAGTAAACTGCTTAAGGTAATTGTTTTAATGGGGTGTAACCTACCCATTATGGGCAGTTACCAACATCTCTCACTTATATAGAATGGGTGCTAAACTCTTAGGATCTCGAGAATCTTTTTTTTAATTTTTGCATCAGTTTCATATAAGGAAATAAGTCATGTGACTAGCTTACTTCAAGAGCTCAATTGCTATATGACTATTAGGTGTATATAACAACTTATAATCACATTAAGTTACTTATACAATTGTTAGGTATATGTAGTAACTCTCAAGTACAAGGTAGTCATTTTAATTGGGTGTAACCCACTTATTATAGGCAATTATGAACATTTTTCACTCGCATAGAATGGGTGTTAAACTCTCATGATCTTAAAAAAGTTCTCTATTCTTTGCATCAAGTTCATATAAGAAAATGAGCCATGCGACTAATATACTTCGAAAGTTCAGTTGCTATAGAACTATTAGGTGCATATAGCAGCTCATAATCACATCCAATCACTTATACAATTGTTAAATATATATAGTAACTCTCAAGTACAAGTAAAGTAAGTATACAATATTTTAGCTCATTTAGTCACATTTCAAGTTTCTCACGATCTCTTTTTTATCTTATCACATGATACATTTGTGTATTCACAATTATATTTGATGTTTCAAACATAATTGTTTAATATGTGAATACAATCAGATGTGACACTAGAATGATCTTTTCTTCTTATAGAATCTCTCTATTTCAATTCAACTACTATCTAGATGTGTCTTATTAGATCAAATTATCTATGACCATTGGCAACAATTCAAGATAGCTAACATTGAACTAAAACTTTAAAAAATAGTAGAAAGTCCTTGAGAATACTAAATATAAGATCCTTTAATCTCAAGGGTCTTACATAACAAGAAACAAAAATCTATTCTTCACTTACCCCTATTGATCGAATAATACACATGTGATATGAAATAAATGCTAGGATTCTTTCTTTTTTCAAAATAACGTATATCTTTCATCATTTATATATCAATATCGTGTAGGTGATAGTTCATATACGTTCAGTATTTAATTTGACTCCACAACTCTCCTTGATTTCATATAATTAATAAGAATTTCATCTGGTATATTAAGACATACAAAGTGAATTATGAGCTTATTCACTTCTGATCACAAATATCAATATCGAATGACCTCATCTTGATCCATTATCAAGACAATTTTGTTTTTAAATTGGGCTCTCGATCTATAACTTAAAACAAATCTCATTTTCATAGTGTCAAACTATTGAGGCAATTGTCTACGTGAGAAGGCCAATTATCTGTCTAACATATCGTATATATACATATACATATGCATATACATATTTGCATGCATTTCAATAAAGTACTTAACTTTAATGGTATTAATTGTATTCAATATAAGTCAACTACAATGAAAAAATATCATACATTGTTCATATAAAATTGTCCAATTAATACATGTACATTAATATTTTCGTAATCCTAGACATCTCATGTGACTATTGAATACATCTTTAGATATAAACTTAGTAAATGAATTTATAAACATCTTATGCGTAGAAACATACTGCATATTGATTTTTTTTATGCAATCATGTCTCTCAAATAATTATATTTAGTATCTATATGTTTGGTCCTACAATAATATTTGAGATTTTTTATGATTGTGATTGCAGTTTGACTATTCACCAAACTAAGTATTAGACTTATCTTTTTCAAATTTCAAATGATTCAAGAATCTCTTAAGCCAATTAACTTATTACACTAATGCCTTTATATTTGTGTATCCTTGGGTTTACAAAAAATTTTCATTTCCATTTTAAAGTAACTATATTGCCCCAAGTATACCATCCATGCTTGATTTTGAAAGCATCAGTAAATGTTCTTCGTTGCTGGGAAGCATCTTCTATCTCTCGAAATATCTGCTGCATCGAAGAATGAGCTGCTTCATTTTTCTTGATTCTCTATGCATTAATGGCTGATTGAACTTGTTCCAGGGTTTTCCCCTTTGTTTCAGGCACCACTGTGACCACAAACAATATAGCCAGTGCATTGATTGCGGCATAAAGAATAAAGGTACCTGAAATCCACAAGAGTTACAGGTAAATTCACAATTTCACATATCTTATTCTTTGTAAAGTCAATTAACTTGCTTTGTAATCTCAATTGAATCAATTACTGCTTAATTGTAACGAATTAACAATAAAAAAAAAAGGGAAAATCTATTCTATTTACCATAGGAGCTCCAGCTCATGAGGAAGTTGAAAGAGTAAGAAACTGCCCATGCACCAAACCAGTTCACTAGCGTTGCTAGGCTTCCAGCCACACCTTTCATATTTATGGGGAATATCTGCAACCAAATCCCATTGGTTAGATGAGTGGAATGATTAGTACATCAATTAGAATGGTAAATCTTGCATACTATTTTATTACGTCAGACATTACGACCCATGGAACTGCACTCATCCCAGTGGAAAATGACCCTATGTATAGCTGAGCTCAATTAAGATTTGTGTCAGAAATAACATAGAAGAAATGGTAAGCTATACTTTGCTAACGAACAAAGTGAATGGGTATCTGATTCGGTAAAAGTTTTTGACATTACCAATATGCCTGTTATAGCAAGAATGGGAACTGAATTAAATAAGTGCCAGATTATGATCCTGGTTGCCAAAGATGACCAAAATATTAGTAATTGACAACGACAAAGGAGACTGCAGTTATAGATGATGATAGTTTGATATTTTAACCTTAAGATAGAATGAAATCCCAGATAGTAAACAGGCAAGGACCAATCCTTTTGAAGAAACCTAGAAAGAAAGGAAAATATGAGATTGACCTTCTATCCATAGGAGTGAGTTGGTTCAGCTATTTAAGGACCTGATAACTGTTATTTGCTCTAAATTTTCCAGTAATAGAGGCTTTCTTCCTGCATTATCAATCACAGTTGCATTAAGGCCAGTAATCACAACCTGCACACAAATGATTGTTTTAAGCTATTGTTTGCCAAGAAGAACTACATAAATATTAATGAAAGGGAAGATAAAACCTGAAGAATGGCATAAATTATTGTCCCAACAGTGGCAGAAAATCCTGAGACATTTGAAGTACGAAAGCAGCAATGTTAATAGTAGAAGACTTTTTTAAGTTTTAGAAGTTTAATTTCTAATAATTTCATAGAGAAAAGAATCTATCTGAGAAAACTGTTTTTTTCCAACTAGATTCAGGCATCCAGGATATATGTTTTAGAGGTCAAAATGCTGGGGTTTACTTTCTTTATCATCATTATCATATGAAGTGCATGTACCAGGCTCTTTCTACTCATTTTCCTCCTTGGTGCATCAGGGTGTAACTCAAAGGGTTCATTACCTGCTGACTTGAAAATATTGCTGGTATAAAAACAGATTCCCCCAAATTGTTGAAAGACCATTAATCCAACTCCTATCTGGTAAAAGATAATTGCATGACAATAACATTAATTAGGATGCAAGAAGGAAAAGTTGTCATTGCTAATTCTTGAAGAATATTGATCTTATTGTGCTTGTGGGTTTAAGAAGTGTTATAATTACAATGACTGAGCGTAAGTATTCCAAATCAAAAATTAAAAAAAAAAAAGAGGAGAGAAACAAACGCACACTCGCACATCCAGATAAAAATTTACAAGTCAATAGTATATTTTCTCTTAGCATTATCAATCCATTCAAGAAAAAGGAAAATTTTGAGGGTAGGATATCATAAAATTGAAAAAGACTATATTGTGACTAAAGAAATAAATTTTCACCGAACTGATATCAAGAACAAACAAGTTACCAGGCGTGCTCCTTATTTACTAGTACAACTGTCAAATAATGTCAATGTCCTACTAAAGCATCATTATATAAGTACTCAATCACACGAGAAAGGGGTCAACAGCTTCTCAAACTATCCTGTAAAAATTTTCAAGCAGAGGTAAAGGGTAATATATGTGACAAAACAGATGTTTATTTGATTGTTTATAACTTTATATGCATCTTTTTGTTCTATGCAATCTTTTTTTTTTTTTTTACAACAAAAGTGGATGATATTTTATTTCAAGATGAGAACGTGTAGCAGATTTCAATTTCAACGAAAATTTACAGAAAATGGTTAATAGATTGTTTTTTTATAATTGCAATAGCACATTTATCTTATAAAGCAAGAAATAACAGTCAAGCTTTCATTGTTGGTGCTATTCATCAGCCACATGCACATACTACAGAGATTCAAACACCTAAGGAAGGATGCCGACATCAACTTGTTTGGTCTGTGACCATCACAATCTCCCTTATCTACCGCCAAATCTCAGATATTGATGACTTATTCAATTCTGGTAACGATCTCTAGAATATGCACTAAATAAGCAATATTTTTAATGTCAAGTCTCCTGGGAATAACTGTGATACATTGATAATCAGTTCTCTTAACTATGCATCTCCTTTTTAAATGGCATGAGAGCCATGCCATTTCATTTTCTCTAGCATGCAGTAATCTAGTTAAAACTACTTCATTTAAACAAAACCTCGTAGACAGGGCTGTAAAATCATGCTACAATCTCCCTTTTTTGTCATTCTCTGCAAAATTCCTAACTATTCTTAAGGTGACTGCCTGGGCTATGGATTCCATTACCACTGTATGAATGTATTAAGGGGTAGAAAAAAGAGAGAGAACAAACACATTCTAAAACATCTTATAGCCTCAAGAAGAGCAAAAGCAAGATATTAGATCAAAAACTGCTTATTCTGCTGCCAAAATTTCCAGAATGCACAACATCATCATCACTTAATCACTGAGTCAGATCCGAAGTAAGAAATCTTAAAAAAGAAAAACTCAGTTTACTCATAATGTGACCAAGCTCCAGAATTAAGAGGGGGTAGTAAACCTTATTAAACCTGGTAAAAATCTCAAAAGAGAACTCATCCAGGCCCGCCATCATTCTATTAACATCTAAAAAACCTAATATGCTTCAATGATTTCTAAGACATGATAGACAATTTAAGATTTCATAACAAAATTCCAAGTTTTTAGCCGCTAAGGCTTAGATACTCGAAAGATATACAACATTAGGACCAGAAGTTGAAAATAAGACAAACTTCTCTTAAAACTTTAACTATACAACCAACAACCTTCGCCCAGCTTTGCGTCAATGTCAGGAAAGACATTCCAAGTCTTATGAATTAGGATATTCTTGTCCATGCCATGGCAATCTTTCGTCATTTGAGGCCTATGATCCACATGAAAGATTGGTTCAAAGTGAAAATTAAAAAAAAGGATTATTCCCTACTTAACGGGGGAAAATTAAGGTATAGAGATCAGGAACAATTGGTTTCTTAAGTTTCTTGACGACCAAAGAGAAGTTAAACACTAGCGATAACAAAAGCACCCCAGGTAAGAGCATAAGAAATCAGAAATTGGAACTCTTTAACTCATTGTGTACCAACTGAACGTTCTGTCACCAAATATTCCAGGTTACTTACCTATCCACAAATCAGGAAAACATGAGAGGAATACTGTTTACACAGGTTAAGTTTTACTCTTTCTCGCCATTAGTCTCCACCTGGACCAACTAATGATAATTTTTCTCACTATAAGTATAACTCTAATTAGCAGCAAATAAGGTAAAGAACGTTGATTACATCCTAAAGCAAATCATGAACATGAAAATTGCAACTAGTGCCAACAGACCACAATTTTTCTTATTTCTTAATTCTATATACTATAAGAAAAAGGCTGCCTGATACACACACAAAAGCACTTTGATGGGCAATTCTCAGCAGTTAGTATTAGAAATAAGGCTTCCATTGCAACACACATAAACAAATTAACTGTAAACTAGTGTAGCCAACAGATATACATAATTGAGCATACATGACATGAGATTAAGCATCGGTCCCATCTTTTCCAGCAAAAGGGTTGTGAGTAGGACCAACATCCTGCCCGATATGGCGCTGCACCAGCCGTAGCAAATCAGCAATAACCTTGTGCTCACGTTTTGCTTTCTCTTCATAGTTAGACATTGCCAATGCCCTCTTGTCCTCTGCACTGTAAACCTGGTTTTCTTTCCTAATACGAATGGCATTCATTCTCTGATGTCTACTACCACTCATCACAAAACAAAGGCTCTCAAACTTTTGAATCTCCTTAGCAGAAAGAACCACTTCACCTCTTCGTGGGATACGTTTCCCTCGTTGAACATACTGCGTAATGGCATCACCTTCAACAGGCCTCAGAGCACCACCATAACTTATATGTCCCTCAGCTCTACAATGGTGCTGGGCCAACCATTGGCTCATTACCCAATGCAGGTTTCTTCTGAGCCTCTATCATTTCTTTAAACATAAGAACCTCAGCAGTACAACTCAAAGTTAGAATATTTTCTTCGTAATTATTTTTGGTGTTAGATTTTAATAGCATTGTTAGTGAATCTTGGTCATGGTTCCCTAAATTCAAGGTTTCATTTTGTTATTTAAAGGTGGAAAACCACTCATCAAAAAATTTAAAAACCATTTCCTTTCAGAATGATGATTTTTGGGGTCTACCAAACTTGCTGAAAGCGCTAAATTGCTTATATTGACTAGCTGGAGCTCCATTCTCGATTGCTACTTGTAATAACCTGTCAAAGTTACCACATTTCAAAATGGATGGTGATAAAGGGTGTATCTTACCTTTATCCCTGTCTTTAAAACATATCACAGTCTTTAACTTCAATAAAAATCTTCAGCCTCTTGGGACTCAAACCAAAGTCAGAGAAACTCGTAAACTCCACAATCTCTATTGCCGTGGCCAGATATTTCTCAGTACAAGTTGAAAACTTTCCATGGCAGCCATCAAATCTCACTCAGTATATTATCTCATGTGAAGATTTAGGAGCTCGCATCACAAACTCCAGCAAGGGATATGAATTATAAAAGGCAACAAATCTTATAATATTACCAAGACGATATCTATAAAACCCTCTATAGGTAGTCACAACCACTTCATACATCTTCCCTACCTTAACACCGCAAATATCCATAGTTTCTTCACCAACAACCTTGTTGTCAGTTGAATCAAATGGAAGAAACTTGAATATGCAGCAGTTGGAAGCATGACGAATCTTGTCAGATTTGGTGGTTGATTTGTATCCAAGTTAATGGCCGCAGCCCGCACAGCACTCTGATGCAAAGTAATCCCCACCCAGCACAGTTACCTCTCCTGCATGGTACTTAAGTTTGGAATAATACTGCTTCATACTCCAGTTCACACAGACACCCCAATTTAAGCAAAATGCCACCCCAATCCTTCTCTTCGGAAATCAACCAAATTCTATTTGCTAAATCTGGTTGGATTCTAAAACCCCAAGAGCTTTTAATCAACCGTAGCGCATCTGGGGCATGAATAGCATCCACAGAATCAGAATTCCTAAGATCACGGAGAAGATGGCAGTACATTTGGTGCTCAATATTTGATCCAAGAATCACTTCATTGGCTTATTGAACTGTTCTAGAGCTACTCAAAACAAAGAAGATTAAAAACAAAAATATATTGAAATTTTATTGACTTGAAAAGGAAATAAATAAAGTGTGTTTACCTATAAAAGAAGCAAACCAAACCAGAGGATCAATGGACGCCACGCTGGTGTTGGAGGATGGAATGGAGAGTCTCGGCCTGGTGATGCACAGTATCCTTCGTTGATTCCTCTAGTTTCCTCAGCAATGCGTGGTCTATCATCTGAAAATGAGGCTATTGCGACTGGGTTCGCTTATAGCACTGCCAGTTCAATGGTTCTCTAATTTTTATTAAGTCCATCTTTTCTTAAGATTGTTAGCAGTATCATTTTATTTTTGATTCATCATGCCAAAAGTATCTGGAAACCGAAGTCCAGCGACAAAAGACAAGCACCAAACCCAAAAAAAAAAAAAATCATTCTTTAAACTGTTTGTTTCAATTTTCTTTCGGTTGCTATATTAATAAATTCCAAACCAGATATCTCTCATGTATGTCTTTTGCATATGCTTTTTGATGGAGAAGTGTTTGAAATCTTTACAACTTTCTGTTTCTGTTTTGGTTGCAGTCGTTTTCTTGAGCATTGTCATTCACTTTTATTATATCAACTTTTACTATGTGATGATCGGAAGTCCCTTTTGAAAACGAAACCGAATCCAAGCCTGCAAAAAACTTGTACGGTGAATCTGGGGATGCCGGTACGTAATCTACCCTAGTCCCACACTCGCATGTGCCTTGCACACCTGCATCAAATCCAAGCATTTTTCATCTCATGTCAATGAATGGAGATTAATCGATTAATTGTCATCAGTTAGAACTTAGAATGGTTTTACACTCTGGCCTTTGGCAATCACCACCGCTGGCTCACATTCCCCTGCAAAGCCCTTAGCATCTGTGTATTCTTCATCCT